CCCCGGCCCCACACCACCCCCACCCCCCCCCCCCCCCAAACAATAGCAAACTACAAGCACCCTGGAAGACATTCACATCATCGCAGTGTGTTACCGCATGCACGTTATTACCCACATTTACATGCATTGATTTAAGGCAGCCCATTCAGCAATGCACATCCGACAGCAAGATATTTTAAATTAGAGTCATTTATTTACATGCAGTGAATGTTTAGTAAATGTCACATTCACTGCTTTATAAATATACCATATGTACCTGAAGCCGAAGTTCAATCTGCCCCCACATCAACATACTAATGCAATTTTTAGAAAAGACCTTTCTGTTTTCATTACATACCTTTTAAGACCCAGTGATGTCATCACTAGGCTGCTCATGGCTGGTGGGAGGGGCCGCTAGAGTGCTGTACATAGTGTAGGAGGGCGTGGCAATGCCACAATGTAATTTGGCAACATTGTCCCCAGGAACACTCAGAGGGACTAAGAGGTTCCAGGATGTTAAAGCTTTTCTAATCTAAGAAACTAACTTAAGTTCCTTCCAGGTTTTACAGACTATAGTGGGATGGAATCTCTATTCCTGGGGCCAGGTGTTGCCAATAACCAGTATAGCTGGATCAGGTGGCTGAGAGCAGCCTTATTATGAGTCTGGGCCAGAGCTCAAGGGGTGTTGTGTTGGAGTTGTGTGTGTGCAGGAGGCACATGGACACAGGCAGACTCAGGTGTGTGCTGGACGCACGTGGAACAGCCGGGGGAGGCTGGGAGAGGTCAGGAAGGTCGGTGACCCAAGGGACCTGTTGGACACACTACTGGGAGAGCAGTGTGAGTATCACACAGAGATGTGCTGAGAAGCTTGGAGCTGAGGAAAGCTACTGAGCAATACTGAGGAGTGCATATGCTGTAGAAAGCTGATTATAATGAGAAGTGTATGAAATGTTGGCCATTGTGTGAGCAAAAGACTATCCTTTATGTTGCTGCTGGAAACTGTCTTGTGCAACAGGGGAAGTCTACCCTGTTGATGGAACAAGATGTTTTGTGTTTGCCCTTAATAAACTGCGTTTTACTTGCATTTCCGGAGTACAGTCGAGTGTCCTTCTTACAATAGCTACCTGAAAACATCACAACACCCTGCGTCAGTACTCTCAACAGGGCCAGATTTCCATTTTTGGTGCCCGTAGGCATGAATCGAGATGATGCTGGACGTCCTCCAGCCAGGAAAGGAAGCAGGCTTTATCTGACCTGCTGATGCTTTTAATGCACAATCTGAGAATCTAACAGTGTACAGTTAAGTCCATCTCCAGGATGGAAAAATAAACCTTTAAAGTGGGGCCCCTCCTCACTGCAAGGGATACAGGCTCGCTAACTCTAAGGGGTAGAGGAAGAGGCTCCTATTCTTCCTGAAACTTTGGGCTGGGAGAGGTCACTTAGCTTCATCACATACAATGCAAGACTATTAGTCCTCCATTGTATGTGAGGAAATAAGCGTGTGACCACTGGATGGAGTGCCTTAATGGAGGCTTTGGGGGACTGGTTGCATAGATGGCGGGAGCCTGCTGCAGCAAGCAATAAGCTAAGGATTGCTCCTTATGCCTCCACCCCAAGACTTAACGAGCATTACCCTTGCACATTAGGGGGCCCAAGTGGAAGGGCATTTTTGTTCTTGAGTTGGGCTTTGAAATCCGACTAAGCCATTTTAGTAGCAAGGAGTAGTCTGTACAACTGTGCAAGACTGAAGGGAAGGCTGGCCAAAGACAGCTTAAATTTTGTCCAATTCCTGCCAAAATATGCACTGATCCAGGCGGAAAATTATCAGACGAATAGTGTCCTACCAGATGCAATCTAAAGGCTGGAGCTCAGCTTTAATGTGTATCAATGAAAGCCTAAATTAAAAGGGCTATTCACAAAAGGGTGAAGAGTTAGGAGAAGGCAACAATCTAGGACAACATAGCTAAACTGGAAAGTGAGCTGAATTGGAGATTTTTGTCCAAATCAACTATGTTGTCCTAGATTGTTCACTTCTCCTGCCTTCTCCTAACTTTTCACCCTTGTATGAATAACCCTGTTAATGTCTAAACAATCACCATAAACTACAAATTCTCGTAAAATGACATCATGCCACATTTAAATTGAGTGGATAATAAACTAGCTAGATGGACTTCAAGCTAGCTGGTGACCTCAGTAGAGCGGCAGCCTGGCAGACATAAAAAGTAATTTCATAGATATATGGGAACACGTCATGAAGATTCCTATTTAATGGGATTAATAGATGAAATCAGCAGGGCTTGAAATTGCCTGAGTTGCATGGCTTGTTAATCCTGACATTACAATTCCACGACCACAGAGGTTGGCCTGACCAGGAACATGGGCACAGTACTGAACAATGGTCAGACACTGGAGACACTGGGCTATGGCAATATGTAGCACGTACAGTGCCTAATGCAATCCAATTGCTCATCCTATAATGTCTGCATTTAACAAAAGCTTGCAAAGTAAAGACTGTAGTACCAGCACACTATGCTCTTCCAAAAAATAGATCAAACTTCATTCCACATGCATCTGTACAAAAAACAACCGTTGACGCGTTTCTGCCATACTTGGCCTTAGTTATAGAGCTATGACTAAGGCAGAGTAGGGCAGAAATGCGTCATGGGTTGTTTTTTGTACAGATGCATGTGTAATAAAGTTTGATTCTCTTTGGAAGAGTATCGTGTGCTGGTACTGCAGTTTTTGAGATAAGCACTCCAGAAGAGGGTTATCCGTGCACGAACGTGGATTACAAGGGTGCATGAGAGGGGTGAGCCGTGCGCTTTGTGTTTCTAGTCTTGTGAAGTAAAGCTTAAAGTGCAAATAAAGCAAAAACTTATTTTTTTTAGTTTTGGATGCAGGTGAGAGGAAATAGAAGCCATCAGCTTTTTATTGCTAAAGTGAAAGAAAATCCCAAATTGTGGGTTGTCACTAGAATAGGTGGGAAATCGTCCAGTGGGGTCACCAGTTGACCCTGCTGACCACCAGGGATTTCCCACACTTTGGAGTGGGGCTACCCCCACACTGCAAGGGTTAACTGGTCATTTTTCCCTAGCGGCTAAAATAAAGAGGTTTTACTCACCCGAATCTTGATCCTGTCTAGCTGCTAGACTGGTCCCCACAGCCTCTCTCTCCCTCCGCTCCGACGGTCCAAGGATCCGCAAGTCATTATGTCCAATGCAGTGTATTGGACATTAGGACGCCAAGAGACATTCCACCGCCAGAGTGGAGGGGGAGAGAGGTGAGCGGCCTTTGTCGCAGAATCAAGGCTTCGTTGAGTACTATGTTTCCAGACTGAGTCGGAGTACCAATACATTTCCTTAAGTACTCGCCAATACCAAATACTGATACCTTTCTTTTTAGTGTTGTGTGATAGTTTTTCTAAAACAATACAGTCTAATGATTTTAGGACAGTGGTGGAGCATGGCTGTATTTGATTTCAGGACCAGTCAGAGAAGGGAGGGTTCAGATCTTGGAGTTGTCATCAGGTCTCTTGTGAGTGAACCCGCACACCCTGCACTGCAAACTGACATCGGAAAGTTACCCACAAGCTGTGTGCAGAGAGTCCCTCCAGCTCCAACCTGTGTGTTCCCGGATATAAGCATACTATATGCTGCTATATACCTGCTCTCAGGTGGTGTCCAGAGGGTATGGCAGGCGGATGCGGAAGGGCCGCAGCTGTCAGAAAGGCTGTGGGCGTCAGAAGGGCAGCAGGCGCTGTCTCTGCAGACTGGCGGGTAGGCGAGGCGGAAGCATTGTGAAGTCCCTAGAAGGCTGTCATAAAGTCGGGGCCTTACGGCAACCGTTTGTGTTTAAAAATGTAAAGCTCCAGTATCGGCGCTCAGTATCGAAGCATTGTCAGGAGTATGAGTACTGGTATTGGTGTCGGTGCATCTCTAACTGCAACTCACAATAACCCACCAACCAAGGTGTGGTGTCATTCTGAATAGCACCCCAATGCACTATTACAGTAATGGGCAACACAATTGCATTGCAGTACACCACATTGCACATGCCATGCATTAAAAAAAGGGTCATGTCCATTTTTTCTAGCTCTCAGGAAAAGGTCCTTCTAAACTGTCAGGCCCCTTTCCTCTGCAACAGATCACGTGGGATTAGTTGGTGTAAAAGTAACCTCTTAAAACAAAACATAGATTTATACTAACCTTATGCCATCTTCTGCCCAGAGTGCCCAGGCGAGGATAACATCACTCTCCTTCCGGCGAGATACTGGGAAATACATGGAGCCAAAATCTCATGGCAAGACACTTCAAGTCCATTGCAAGCCTGCTCTGCATTCCCTAAAAATCTCCTTGGAAAGACGGTGATGGCACGCCCAGTAGTGGCGGAGTAGATGTAAAGCTGGCATAAATCTGACCTTTATTCTTTACAGGTAAATGTTACACCTACTAACACAAGGGGGGCTATTTTTAAACAATTTGCTGAGCCATTTGTGAAATGTAGTGTATTAGCACATTATGACCATTAGATGGAGCCAAGGAGCATAGGAAAAATACTAATTTCCTGTGCTCCTCAGCTCCATCTAGTGACCATAATGCAGTATTATGGTGAGCTAAAAACTCAATAAAAT